CATTCTGCTAGGAGTTCAGGCCCCCTGACCCTGCTTTCTGGAGGCATGACCTGTCCCCACTCACCTGCCCCATCTAGGGTCTGGGTCATTCATCCCGCAAAGAGGAGCCACGGGAGGGGCCCCCACGTGTTGTCGGGTGTGGGACACATGTCACATGTGAAGGGCAGCGTCCCTCCCAAATACCCGGGACAGCTGAACTCTGCTTGGGGCGGGGGCTCTGCAACCTGATCCCTAGGGACAGGTGATGCCCACACTGGAGTGTGGCGGACGAGTCGCTGAGCCCGGCCACCTGGTCCCCCTGTGGCTCGGAGATCCTCGTGCTGTCCCTGGGCAAACAAAGCCGGGGAAGTCACAGCTGTGTTGACTCACGGGGATGGTTCTATGTCCTACTTGGCGAAATGAACGTCATTAGCATTGTACATCTGTCTTGAATATAAATGACTAAAATGTTTACAAAGTAATTGAAGCCAAGTGACGTCCGTGCCCCCTCTGCTGTAGGTTGGGGACAAAGCGGCATTAGAGAACAAAGCCGCCTGCACCTGACTGTGGGTGTGTCGGGCACAGGGGGAGGTGCGTTCCCCTCACAGGCTCGCAGCTCACGAGAAGCCTGGTGGAGTCGGACCCACCAGGGTGCAAATCCGGGCCCCCCGCCTGACAGAAGCGTGACCTTGGGCCATCTCTTTTTTATCCCCTCTTCTGTAAAATGGGTACAAAGCCAGTGGGTTGCAGAATGATGACCCCAAAGATGGCCGTGCCCAGTCCCTGGAGCCTATGACTGTATCAGGTTAGGCTGCAAAGGGAGATTTGCAAAGCATCCTTCCTTGAGATGGGAGAGCATCCCGGGTCGTCCGGGTGAGTCCAGTCTCATCAGAAGGACCCTGCCAAGCGGAGGAGGAAGGCAGAAGAGTGTCCAGAAGGATCTGAGGTGCTGTGCTGCTGCCTCTGTGGCAGAGCAAGGGGCCCGGAGCCCCGGAAACCAGGCGGCCAGCAACACGTCTGCCGACACCCTGGGACTTAAGTACCGTGACAAACTGGCGTTGTGGCAAGCTGCTAAGCGTGTGATGGTGTGTCCCAGCAGCGACGGGTAGTTCACACAGACGGCGCCCGCCCGGTGAGGCTGGGGTGGGCTGGGCCCGCCGGGCGACGCACCCGTTTTCCGTGCGCACGTCCCTGCCCTCCCCCACCCGTGCCACCCGCAGCCCAGGTGCGAGGCCCGGACGGCCGGGAGCCCTCCACCCGGCACGAGAAAGGGGGGCTCTGGTGCCGCAGGGGAATGCGGCCCAAGAGCCGAGCGTCTGATGGGGCCGTGGACACCGAAGCCCGCGGACGAGCGCGAGCGCCCTCTGAACCGAGGCCCCGGCCGAGGCCCCTGCGCGGCTGGGGGGGGGGGGGGGGTCGCAGGTGCAGGGTGAGGCTGGCGCCTCTCCGTTCACTCCGGTTCCGCAGGTGTCTACTCTCAACGAGCCGTGGATTTCGAGAGCCGAACCCAATCAGGACACGCTGCCAGACGGTCAGGAGACGGTCCCGGGCTCTGTCTGACTCTCTGAGCGACGCTACCAGAATGAAGGGGCTCTGCTGCTCGTCTGCTGACTGACGAGCGGCTCGGCACTTTTGGCGGTGCTGTGTCCTGGACCCCGAAGCCGTCTGGCACCATCAGCCCCTGCTTGTTTGCCTCACGTCCCCGGCAGGCACGCACGCTTCTAGAACCATCGCAGCTAGATGTGGCAGCTCTTTTATAAAACTTGTGTATTTCATTTGCCTCTTGAAAGATAATTGGTATCCACTGGAAGGCTTAATTGCTCCATTCCAGACCAGAAACAGGTATTCATATATTCAAATCCATAATGACTCACAGTCGAACAAAATGTGAAAAACAAAATCCTCCACCAAGAACAATCTCCCCTGGAGCTGATTCTTATAATAATTAGGGTCAGATCACTGATGAGTCATGATGGATGAACAGCCAGGGAAAAATGTCACTTGCTGAAGGCTGGAGGTCATCAACTCTGCCCATTAATCGCTAATTAATCCTCCACAAACACCCTCTGTCCTAATTGTTTTGCGGCAAACACAACAATTTGGGCGGGTGGGTCTTAGGAAATTAGAAATTATGCACGTAAATGTCAATCCTACCCTGCGACAGGAAGTTGCACTGAGGTCATTTGCATATCTTGAAGATTCAGGTTAAAAAAATACTGGTTTAAGAAAATCTCTTCCTCTCTTTACAAGAGGAAGCAAGGTGAAAACTTGTTTTGTAACTACACATAATCTTAGTAATCACATATCTATCTAGGTAGAGTAGTTTGGGTCATAGTAGCAGGTTAATGGATGACAAAATATCCTGATACAATAAATCTAAATTTACCAGATATTTCTGCTTGTGTTTGTCAGACTTAAGACTCAACTCTCTAACTTTTTTAAGTCTAAAATGAGATTCTGTTGGGAGACTCAAGTGGAGCACTGATCTATGACCCACGTAACTCAGATCCCTGCCGTTAAATTAATTAAACAAGGAGGCCACCAGGCTGACGTGGCTCTGATTCCTTGAAGGTCTACTTAAGCAAACCGAAATCTAAGCCAGTAAATATCTCAGGTTGCAACACCAATCAAAACACTAAGGATGACCGGGGTGCCTGGGTGGCTCAGCCTGCGAAGTGCCCCACTTTGGCTCAGATCATGATCTCGCAGTTTGTGGGTTCGAGCCCTGAGTCGGGCTCTGTGCTGACAGCTCAGAGCCCGGAGCCTGCTTCGGACTCTGTGTCTCCCTCTCTCTACTCCTCCTCTGCTCATACTCTCTCTGTCAAAAATAAATAAACAGTGAAAAAAAGTGCTAAGGATGACCAATCACAAATAGGCACCTGTGTCTGAAGCTGTCGCCAATCAAACGGTTTCCCTTCTCCGCTTCCCCACCTTGTCTGTCCCCCCTCACCGCCCCACCTCCGCCGGCTCCCATCAGCTGCCCTGAACTGCTTCTGCTTTGGTACTCCCCAACTGGAACCGGCTTCTGCTCAAACAAATTCTTCAAATGTTTAATATCCCTCAGCTAATCCTCAACCCAGTCCTCCACCTACAATCCCCACAAGCCTTGAAATGGCAGGTGACTCAGCGGGGAGCTCTGTGCATGCCTCTGTTTCTCCTAGACCTGGCTTCATTAGACCCAAAGGATAGAAGCCACAGGGCAACCATGCGTTGACTGTTAATGAGCTCCTTCCTCATGCCTACCAATACTTCGGGGGGGGAAAAAGAGGAAAGGGAGGGAAGGGAGGGAGACAGGGAAGGAGGGAGGGAGGAAAGGAAGAAGGAAGGAAGGGAGGGAGGGAGAAAGGGAGAGAGGGAGGGAGGGAGGAAGGGAGCAAGAGAGGGAGAGAGGGAGGGAGGGAGGGAGGGAGGGAGGGAGGGAGGATGGAAGGAAGGAAGGAAGGAAGGAAGGGAGGAAGGGAGGGAGAGAAGGAGGAAGGGAGGAAGGGAGGAAGGGAGGGAGGGAGGGAGGGAGGAAGGAAGGAAGGGGGGGAGAGAGGGAGGGAGAGAGGGAGGGAGGGAGGGAGGGAAGGAAGGAAGGAAGAAGGGAGGAAAGGAGAAATAGCACCCAATTACCTATAAGTACGTAAGCTAAGGACACTGCCTGCATTATCCGTCTTTTACCCATCAAATAAAATCCCAGCTATCACAACTGCACCCCGTGTTTCTAATGGGACCGGGGAGTCCTGTGAGGCCCCAAGGTGTGCAGTGTTTTGTGGTCCGTGAGTCAGGGGATGGTTTTCTATGAGGATTTGTTTTCAGACCTTCTGTCAACAAAAGATTCCCTGTAAAAACGGACACCACTCAGTCAAAGGAGGAAACAAAATCACAAACCCAATTCGTAGTGTCCCTGAATGCAGCCAAGCTTTTACAGATTCAGTTCATGATGCACCTAAAGCACTTGTCTTTTCCCAATGTGGGTTGCCCCAGGCTCTCTGGAGAAGGGAGGGCCGTCTTATGTGAAACAAGCATATCACACTGTCACCTCTCAATCCTGAGGACCACCACCAGCTCCGGAAGGGCAACACTTTCCAGGCTCTCAGCGCTGTTAAAAGTGCTAAGAAAGCTTTTATAATACCGCTTTCTAAAGTTGTAGTTAACGCCTCTGCCTCTACCTTTGACTGAGAACTGTGGGCAGGTGCTGGCTTGTGTTGGCCCTATATGATGGAATAAAAACCATCGACAAGCTCAATAAAGCACCCCATAAAAATAAAGACCCTTTTTCCAGGGGTCAAGATCCAGTTTCCTGGCCTCTCAGCCCAGCGCGTGCATCTCAGGTCGGGAGAGTGCTGCCGATTTCAAGGTTCTCCAGCGTAGCCAATGCTATTTTAACCCACGTGCTCAGGGAATGGGGCTTTCCCAAGACCGCAGCTAATAAAAAAATATATGGCATCTAATCAGAAAGTATGCTTGCTGAAAATGCTGAACGTTCTTCTCAGACTCTGGGGAAATGAGATTTACACGGGTGTCTTCAGACACCATCACCTCCCGGCCAAGTAGCCCGTCCCCTACAGCAGGAACGCAGGAACGTCCCCCACATGCCCACCTCTCCCTGGAATTCAAGCACCCCTCAACTAAACGATGGATGGATTTTGTTCAAGGCTCTAAAACGAAGGTAGAAGGAAATTTGCTCTGCTTTGTGAGCGTCTGGTCTCTCAAGTGGAGCTCACGAAACATTTGGAATAAAAATTCAATGTTGGCTGATGACGGTGCTAGAAGCTTCCAGAGGCGGACAGAAGGCCTCTCTGAGTTCACAACTTTCCATAATGTGGCAAGGAAGCCCCAGCCAGCCCCCAGGAAGGACGTGCCCTCAGCAGAAAGTGCCATAAAAATTTAATTCCTAAATTCTAGAGTAGCCAAGACAATTCTTTAAAGATAAATTTCCTGCATAACTGGGAAAACCCCGCTTCCCATCACGACCATGAGGAACACGCAGTTCAAACACTAGGAAAGAGGACGCAAACGGCCCCGCTGTTAGTCACCTGTCGGGGCCTCCAGCTTGCGCTTGTGGGGCGGGTCCTCGATGATCCTGTTGAGGTCCCCACGGTTCTTCAGGTCCATGGGCTTCTCCCACACGGACAGCTGCATCGTCGGGTTGAAGAAGAAAACCCGGTCATCTCCCGTCCACACCACACACCTGTTTGAATGGAAAACTCACCTCAGTTACCCTCGGAGACATTTAGTTAAGAAATCATTGGCCTGCACCCTCACCCAATTATAAACCCTGTACAAATAATGATGACCGTGTCTGGCTTTTTAGGGGTCCTTCACAGAGATTCTCGTATGTCCCCATTTGATTCACAGGTCGGTACTATCCTAACCATCCTTTGACGGACACCAAAGTGGAGCAAAGCAAGCATCCTGACAAGGTCCTTGGAGGTCCAGGCTCCTCCTGGCGTGCCAACAGTCTCGGCTTTGACATAGCTCGGACCCTGCGCTCTGCCCCAAGGACTGCATACTTTGCAGGGGGCTTCCCGGTAAACATTCCGAAGTACCGTACACGCGGGCGGATTCACGGGCCGTCGTGGCCCAAGGGAGTCCATATGCTCCGGCATCAGAGATATTAAAAGGGCTGCTTTGATTAGCAACTCTGGCCCTTGTTTCCTGGCTTGTTTCTAAAAGATCAAAGGGTGAAGCTTTGTGTTTTCATATGTAGGAATCTAACACCTCCAGAAGGAATAATATGCAATTTTAGGACCCCGTATCTGGGGAAGGTTATCAGGCAGGAGAAAGATTAAAAAGAAGGGAAGAAAACAAAAGAATTTATTTCACCTGTTCCGAAGGAGTGTGTGTGGATCTGTAAGGACTTGGATCTAGGGTCCCAAAGAACGCAGCCGCTCAAGGCCACCAGCCCAGCTTCCGGCTCTGTCCCGAGACTCGTCCCGGGACGGGGCAGGGAAGCAGCGGTGTGCTAGCCTGGGCTCCCAGAAGCTTCCTCTCGGACAAGGCCTCTCCCCTCCCTGGGCCTCAGTTGCCCACAGTGATCTCTCAGCGCCCTGCAGCCCCAGGCATCTCGGACTCCTGGTGCTGGGGGCTGCGCAGGAGAGCCCACGTGTGCTGAAACCCTCTGGCTATTGACTGTCCCGAGGTGGGGGCCTCTGCCCAACGGGAACCGCCTGCCAGGCACGGCCTTCGTCTCTGATAACCAGCTCCTCCCCTGCCCAGCCAGTGGCACGGAGCCGTCTGCCATCAGGAATAGAGCCAGCCGTCGCCAGCCGCTCCGCTCTGCACAGAGGAAACCCCTCCGACCCTGAACGTACAGCCCAGCACACCCAGGAAGACGTTTCCCACGGGCCGCACAGAGGGCTCGGGCGCTGAACCCATGTTCTGGGAACTCTTAACAAATCAGTCTCCTTCCCGAAGGTGACACTGAGATGGTCTGCTGGATTTACTACCCCAGCCAGGCCAGGTTCAAGGGCATGGTCGGCAGAATGATGGCTCCTAAAACGTCCACATCTTAATCCTTCAAGCCTGCCAGCGGGTGACCTAACATAGCAAGGGGGGGTGCTTTGCAGATGTGATTCAGTTAATATCTTCGGATGAGGGAGGTTCCTGGATTGTTTTGTAGAAGAGTGAGGCAGGAGGGTCCGAATCAGAGGGGGAGACTTCATGGAACCAGAGGTCAGCGGCACGGGGAACCTGAGACACATAAAGACCCCCTGTGGCTCTCAGGTGGAGGAAGGGGCTCCAGAAGGCAAGACGCTCCAGAAGCTGGAAAAGGCAAGGAACAGACTGCCCCCTGGAGCCTCCAGAAGGTATGTGGCCCCACCCACACCTGCACTTCAGTCCCATGAGACCCGGGTGGGACTTCTGACCTCCAGAATGGTGAGGTGATACATTTGTGGAGTTGAAGCACCTGGGTTTGTGGGAGACCGGTCAGCGGGGCTCTCCTGTGGCCCCTCTCCGTCCTGGGCACCAGCATCGGGACCCGCCTCCAGCCAGCAGTGACCCAGGCGCCAGGCACCGGGCCCACAGGCACTGGCCATCACTGGCCCAGGCATCCCAGGAGGAAGGAGACAGCAGCCTGCCCTCTGGCTGACATCTTCAGCTCGAGACCTGTCCTTAACTAACCTTCAGGGGTTGGAACGGAAGTCTGCGTTATTCCAACACCCCCCCCCCCCCCGCTACGGGGACGTGAAAGCAAGACGTCGGGGCCCCTGCCTTTGTTAGAGGCGGGAGGGCTCCCGGGCCACAGGGGTGCTGCCCGCGCCGGAGCTGGAGGTCCAGGGGGAGGGCTGGCAACCGGGAACACAGTGTTCCCATCCCTCCCCTGCCCCAGGCAGCCTGGGCGGGCCTTGCCTAACCCCTGCAGGCCGGGAGGGGGGGGGTGCATGGCTTTACAGCGCGCAACCCGGCGGCACAGAGCTTTTATGGAGCATGAAGCCGAAGGTAATCACGCTGGCCGTAAGTGATGCACAGTTCAGCCACCGTGTGAGCTCCCCAGACGGGCTTCTGGGCCAACAGGGACCATAAACCCTGTCAGGGCCGCGAGCCTCCTTCCCCCTCGGATGCAGCTCCGGGGACAGAAGGCTCCCCGCCCGTCAGGGGGCCTCGCTCCTCACCACACGCAGCCCTGGTCTGGCCACCCCCACGCCCTGGCCTGTGACCTCCGGACTGGAGGGGGCTGGTTTTCCTGTCCTCACGGCAGCTTCACCTGGAAAAAGGTTGTGGGTCAAGCCACATCGGAGGCCAGCTCCGTGCAGGAGGCGACGGCGGACCCCCGGCCTCTTCCTGCGCGCTGCCCTGTGTGCCTTCGGGCTCGGGGCGCACACGGCCCCACACGTGGTTCGGGAGCCTCCTCGGGCTGGGCTGTGGCTGGAAAGGGAGCTGCAGGCCGCAGCGTCGTGCATGCTGTTTGACAGCACGGGGCCTGAGTGGAATGTTCTAAAGCATCCCTGGCCCCTGCATTCGTCTGCTCACTTGACATAAAAGAGGGGCCACGTGGACCCACAGCGTCTCCCCGGAGCCCTGACCTCACCTGACAGAGAATAACCTCTGTCAGCTTGGCTGTGGCTGACACACCTAACGGGTCCCTCGGCGCCCGGCAGCCGGGCGTCCCGTCCCCACCGCCCCCCCCAGCCCCGGGGGCCCCGCCCCCTACGCTGACCAACCTGTTCCCTCCCCTAGAGCCATGGAGGGAGACGGCACTCAGCTGGGAGTCCAGGGGTCTCCAGGTCCTGGAGACCTGCCCTCGGGGGCGGCTGTGCCTCTGCGTCTGTACCACCCGAGCCTGTGGCTTCATGCCTCAGCGTCCTCATTTTTGAAAGAAGGCTGGCGGACTGGGATCTAGTCCCAGACGGTCGTGTAAGTCCCTCCAGGCTTCGATTCCAGTTTCTAGACTTCTCTCGCAATTTTCCAGGTTCGTGCCAGGACCCCAGTCACGGTCAAGCTGGTGTCCCTCCCCTCAGACCGACGTTCCGGGCAGGTGCGCCCACGCCTGGCTCCCTGAGCCCGGCGGCCTTGGGTCACGGCCGCACGTCCGAGGCAGCTCTGCTCAGCCAGTCGCAACCTCACCCGGGGCAGTCTGCAGCCCCCCACTTCAGCTGGGGTCAAGGGGCGGGTGCAGTCCGTGGTCCAGGGCCCCCAGGCTCGGCCTCAGCTGCCCTGCCGCTTTCCCTCTCCCCTCTGCCTGGAAATCACTCCTTGGCAACACAGACATCCAGATCCCTGCCTGCCGCTCCTTCTGGGACATCTGATCCGGACAAAGCCCAAAGGGGAGGAAGGACTGTGTTCCAGGAGATGTCCCAACAGGCGAAACAGCAGGTGGTGCCCGTGCCGGGGACACGGTTGCCCCCCTCTGCCCTAGAAAACCTGCACTGTGGGTTTTCAGAACGAAGACCTGATCCCACCAAACACAGCACTGTCATCGTTACGGTGGCTCAAGGACTCAGGCGAGAGATGTTCATGGAGAAAAGGCTAACTAGGGCCTGTGGATGTGACACGGTCCTGGGGCACATCAGTTTGTCCCACAAGTAGCTGGGCCATTTCACATGAGAACTACTGAGGAGCAGGTAGCCTCGGAAAGGCAGGTGCCCAGTGGCTTGGAGCAGAGAGGGGGCGGCCTTGGCTCCAGGCCAGCCCCCCAAGGTCCATCACGGGGACCAACTTCAGATCACCCCCAGGCTCTCTCACCTGGCTCTGGGAGGCTGTCCCACTCACGGAGCGGATGGCCTCCTAGGTTGTTGACTGTAAGTCACTGGTTTCCCAAAGGGCCGGGCAGCGTGCTGGGTCCTAAGAATGTTCTGGTCAACAGCAGGGAGGAGACTTGAGAGCAAGAAGACGCTGAAGACAGATGAGGGAAAACACCCACCACTCTTGGCTTGGGCAAGCCCACAGCTGTCATGTGGTGCCACGGGGTTTAAGAGAGATGGGGTTTCAACTCTGGGCCCTAGGCTGCCACTTGCCCATATCGTGTTGTCCTGACATTAGGCTGAAGGGAGGCCCGTGGGTCCAGGCAGGGTCCAGGCAGGGGTCCGAGCAGGTGTTAGTCTAGCAGGTGAGTTTGGACAGGAGGTTCAGACAGGTGGCTTATGGTCAGGTGGGTCTAGGCAGATGGGCTTGGGCGCATGAGTCTGGACAGGAGGCCTGGGCGGCTGGGTCCACGGAGGGGTCTGGACAGGAGGCCTGGGCCAGCAGGGGGCTCTGGGCAGCTGTGTTCAGAGAATTAGGGACCCCGCTGAAGCCTACCCCAGATAGGCTAAATGGCGTCAGAGGGACTCCTGGATACCCAACCTCCCCTAGTGCAGACAGCAAGGTGGGGGCTGCCCGGGTTGGACTGACCTCCAGCAGAGCCTGTGGGACCCTGCCCTGAATTCCTCCCAGTGTGTCGGTTTCCAAAGAAAACCAAATAACACTGCAGCAGGGATCAGGGCAAGCCGGGAAATCTGGTTCTCTCGAGAGCCACTGCTGAGGGCTGACAGTCTGACGTCCGGGGTCCTCCCTGTGCTGCCTCTCCTTTCCCCGGTGTAGCCCGTGTGCAGAGACACTAGAAAACATGTGCTCCAAAGAGCCGCACGATGGCAGGACCCCCGATGTTCTCCGTCAGGTAGACGCGGCTCGTTTTGTCCCGAGGGGCTTGCAACCAGGCTCCAGGCACCGCTGTTACCGCTAGGAAGAGACTTCACACCCGGGAACTTA